TCATATTTCAAAGAAAATCTTAAAACTAAATAATTGTAACTCAGTGAGATATTCTAATCATAGAAACAGTTATCCCCCATTCAAGAAATACATATTAAAATCTGCTTTTTTCTAGGCTCCATTCTGCTGTCGAGATGGAATATAATGGTATACATGACAGACAAATACACTGCCATCATAAAGCTTATATTCTCATCATGATGAAGGGAAAGGAGATTTTTGTTCTAATGTGAACAAATTAATTTGATAATTTCAGATATTGATTAGTGTTATGGCTTCATCAAAAATGAAGATAGATTGAAATAACTTCGAACAAGGAAATCCCACCAAGGGACTGTGGAAGATGAGCAGGAATTACCATGCAAAGTCTGGCAGAATAAAACTCCAGCAGAGGAGACTACAAAAGCCATGGCCTTAAGGAAGGGTAGTCTCAGTAGTCTTGAATAACAGAGATAAGGCCAGTGTGGGAGTTTAGCCTATAGGAGGGGTCAGCAAAAGGGTGAGCACAGTCTTTTAGACTCTGCCAGTTTATATTGGGGCCTGGATGTGATAGTAACCATTTGGGTTTTTTTCCTAACTGGAAAGTCATTGGGAAAGTGACCTAACCTGATTTAAATTTTTTCAAGTTCAGTTTGTGGAAAAATGATTGTTGGGACATGAATGGAAATATGATTGTCAGTTATGAGACTCATGTGTCCATCCAAATGGTAGGTACAAATGTGTGAACAGACTTGGGATTTATTTTGGTTGGAGAACCAAGAGGACTTGTTAATAGATTGGTCAAATTTGGGGTGATTAGATGAAAAAATGGTAACATCTATAGCGAGAAGCCAAATCTCAAAACCTGATATCTTCTGATCTATGGTTATAGTAGTCCTGGGATCTGCCTATTTCATTGTTTCTGAAGCTATCATCCAGGAAGAAAGGGGAAGAAAGTTAATTGCTTGAAGATTATTAATGTATAGAGGTTGGACAGAGAAGTTGCTGGCATAGGACACTGGCAAAGTCAAGCAACGCTGGGGGTGGTGCTGCAGACATTAAACGAGACATGTGCAAAATTAAGAGTATTCAGCTAGCGCCTCCCCTGGTGGCGCAGCAGTTGAGCACTGGGATGCGAAGCTGCCCATAGCCTCCACAAGCGCTGGTTCAATCCTCGGCCATCAGCAAGGGTCCCACATGGTGTGACAGACCTCTCCTGTCATGCCCGCAGCTCCCCTCAGCAGTGTATTTTGTCAGTCTGCCTGTTCTGTTTCCCACTCTGGCTCTGGTGAATTCTCTCACCCTCCCGCACTTCTGACTGTACCCAGTGCTTGTATAAATACATAAATAAATCTTTAAAAAAAAAAAAGTGTTGAGCAAATCAGTTGCTGTTGTGAGTCAATGAAGACAAAGAAGTAATTGCTATAAAATACATAGAAGGAAATATAGGCGAAACACTACGGGATTTGCACATCAAAGACATCTTTACAGACACATCACCCAAAGCAGTGATAGTGAAGGCAAAGATAAACAGCTGGGACTACATCAAATTAAAGAGCTTCTGCACAGCAAAAGAGACAATAACAAAAACAAAGAGAAACCCCACCAACTGGGAGAACATTTTTGCACCCAACACTAATGATAAAGGACTGATCACAAAAATCTGCAAAGAGCTGATGAGACTCAGCAACAACAAAGAAAATAATCCAGTCAAAAAATGGGCAGAAGAGCTAAAAAGAAACTTCTCTGAAGAGGAAATGCAAATGGCCAACAGACATATGAAAAAATGTTCAACATCACTTGTAATCAGGGAAATGCAAATCAAAACTACTATGAGATAGTAGTTTTGGTGCCATCTCACTGGTGCCATCTCACACCAGTGAGAATGGCACATATTAAAAAAACTAGCAAACTGGTCCAACCACTATGGAGAGCTGTGTGGAGATTTCTGGACCTACTAAACATAGAGCTTCCATATGATCCAGCAATTCCACTCCTAGGTATTTACCCAAAGGACACAGAAACATCAATTCCAAAGAGCACCTGCACTCCTATGTTTATAGCAGCACTGTTTACAATAGCTAAGCTTTGGAAACAACCCAAATGCCCAAAAATAGATGACTGGATCAAGAAGATGTGGTACATATATACCATGGAATATTACTCAGCATTCAAAAAAGATAAACACATGCAATTTGCAGCAACATGGATGGCACTGGAAGGGATCATGCTCAGCGAAATAAGCCAAAAAGAAAAAGAAAAATACCGGATGGTCTCACTCATAGCAGGAATCTAGAAAACTTAAATAAGGGACCAGGAAAATGAATATAAGAAAGTGAAAATCAAAATCAACAAAAAACTATGAACCAGAGACACTTTTTGGGGGGTGGGGGGCGGGAGGGGAAGGATTGGGGTCAGAATGGGGCGTTTGCTATTGTATGGGGGAATATAAAAATAAAATTTAATATTTAAAAAAAAAAAAAACTAGCAACAACAAATGTTGGCGAGGGTGTGGAGAAAAAGGAACTCTTCTGCACTGTTGGTGGGAGTGCAAACTGGTCCAGCCCCTATGGAGAGCTGTGTGGAGATTTCTGGACCTACTAAACATAGAGCTTCCATATGATCCAGCAATTCCACTCCTAGGTATTTACCCAAAGGACACAGAAACATCAATTCCAAAGAACACCTGCACCCCTATGTTTATAGCAGCACTGTTTACAATAGCTAAGCTTTGGAAACAACCCAAATGCCCAAAAATAAATGACTGGATCAAGAAGATGTGGTACATATATACCATGGAATATTACTCAGCATTCAAAAAAGATAAACACATGCAATTTGCAGCAACATGGATGGCGCTGGAAGGGATCATGCTCAGCGAAATAAGCCAAAAAGAAAAAGAAAAATACCGGATGGTCTCACTCATAGCAGGAATCTAGAAAACTTAAATAAGGGACCAGAAAAATGAATATAAGAAAGTGAAAATCAAAATCAACAAAAACTATGAACCAGAGACACTTTTTGGGGGGTGGGGGCAGGAGGGGAAGGATTGGGGTCAGAATGGGGCGTTTGCTATTGTATGGGGGAATATAAAAATAAAATTTATTATTTAAAAAAAAAAAAAAAAGAAGTAATTGCTGGATTTGACTCTAAAGGCCATGGGGTGACCTTGACCACCTAAGCTTCAAAAGGGAGGAATGGAGGAATGAATGGAAACACCAATACCCACCCTGACTGTGACCAGTCAGCCAGCCTGAACTCTTTGCCACTCCTGAAATACTACCCCATATGGACTCACATACCTAGATTTGTATCTCAGCTCTTCTACTTGCTACCTATGTGAACTTGGCAATTTGACAACCCTATCTGAGTGTTTATAAAAGGGGAAACTGTTTTTTTTCCTTTATGTAAGAGAAAACTCACTTCTTCTTTGCTGTGTTTCTTCTGTGTGCCCCCCTCTACCTTCTCACATAGCACACTTCATTTCTTGGGCATTTCAAATGTGGTGGGGGAGAGGGAGGGTTCTCCATGCTGAGCAGTTCTGCAGATACCAGCTGGGTGTCCTACACCTTAACAATTTTAACACTATCTTCCCGGAGATAGTGTTAGATCCACAAATAAAGGGCTCAGCTTTACAAAACTGCCCCCCCCCGCCGCCCGTCCCATCATAGTCCAGATGCCACCCACATGTAGTCCCTAGTCTACAACTTCTGTCCAATTTGGCTACACACTGGAGGTTCCCATAATCCAATTAATCAATTTGCTAGAAATATTTGAAGAAATAAGGGGACCATTTATTTACCTTTTCCAGTTTATTAAAGGATATGATTTTAAAAAATACAGATAAGAAGATACAAAGGATGAAGTCTGGGAGGGTCTTAATCACAGAGGTCCTCTCCCCTTTAATGCCCGCCTCCATGTATGGATGTGTTCACCCCACCCCTTCCCACATATCTTTCCCTGTGCATTTGTACCATCTGGTTATTTTTGGGTTATATCCTTTTATAATAAACCAGTAATTTAGTAAGTAAAATGTTTCTCTGAGTTCTATGAGCCACGCTGGCAAGTTAATCAAACCCAAATGGAGGTTTTGAGGCTCTCTAACTTACAGCAGCTGGTTAGAAGCACAGGTAACAATCTGGGCTTAAGACTGGCATCTTGAAGTGAACTAGAAACCTGTAGAATCTACTGCTATTTCTGAGCAGAATTAAGTCAAAGTACACTCAGTCAGTGTCCTGTGCATTGTTTGTTGGTATGGGGAACCCCTACACATTGTAAAATGCATCTCAGAATACCCATTTAATTTTAGCTGCTTTTTCTGTAAATTGGGAATAATTGCATTTTATAGTATCATCCTGGGTGCTGCTAGGTATCCCTAAAAGCTTTAGGCACTGGAAAGCAGTGCAGTAGGTATCAAGAATTGCTGACTTGATTGCTTTTACCATATTTGTCTGTCCTATGTGGCTTCCCCAGTCCATTCTAGATGGGCAGGCTCCCCTTTTCTCTGTGTAATTGGCACTTTTGCTTAGTGATCCCAAACAGAGAACCACCTTACCCAACACAGTACCGAATATGAACTGCAAGTTCAATTAAATATTTGTGGATATGATAACTGAATGCAGAATATGTGCAAAGTGTCAATAGAAACCCTCAAGAAATAAAGCAGAGGATGAAAGGACCTATTCCTTCCTTCTCTCTCTACAAAGACATCCCAAATGTGTAAGAGGTAATCAGCATGTTTCCTAGCTTAGTTTCCTCCTCTGCAAAATTAGTATAACAACACTTAGTCAAACCTAATTTAGAAATTATAGAGCACCATAATTTATAATGTAATTTATAAAATATAGTTATATAAAGTATAATTTATAAATTATAAAATGTAAGCTAGTATCATCATTGAAAGATGAAGAGGGTACATTTATTACTCAACAAATAGTTATTGAACATCACTGTATGGCAGACTTTGGTAGGTAGTAACCATACCTACTTTAGTAAGTAGTAACCATATAAATCAAATATATTATATATAATATATATATATTATTAGTGATCCTAAGACCTTAATGTGCCCAGGCACAGAATCACCTTGCTCAACACAGTACCTAGTATGAGCTACATGTTCAATGAAATGTCTGTGGTAAGAAAAACTGGGTGCAAAGCCTGCTCTGCCATAGTTCTGGATGCTTGGCAGTCAGAAAAGTCACTCAGATGGGGTGTGGGAAGTGTCAGTGACCAAAGGACCTCCTGAGGAGGTGACACTGCAATTGTCTATGACAGATGCAAAAGCAAGAAAACAAATTTGAATTTCTCCTCCATGAGGTAGTCCATACACTGCAGAGTCTGGGACTCTACATAGGTTCTACAGTCCCAAGACCCATAAGGCAGTTTCTCAACCTTGATCCCCCTGATATTTCAGTCTGAATAACCCACATGTGGTGGCTGTGCATTGTAGGATGTACACTGCAGAGTGTTTTACTGCCTCTCTGGTCTCTATTAATTGTGCATCATAGAATGTTTGCCTTCATCCTTGATCTCTGTTAACTAGATCCCTCCTAGATTTGACAACCAGAAACATCTCCTGACACTGCCAAATGACCTCTGGGGATAAAACTGCCCCCAGTTGAGAACTAGTGCCAAACAAGACCTCTGTAGGTGGTTCTAGAAGAAAAGGAATGCATATATTAGTGCCTCAATATATATTAGTGCTCATAAAATATTGAAAGAAAATGAATGAGGTGAATGAAGGAAGGAGCCACATGGAGCTGCTTTGACACACTCCTTTTGGGGCTCATTCAGAAGCACTCTGGGCTAGTAAGTTCTAAGCCCCAAAGAGAGGTATCAATAACATTATATCCATGAAACAGTGAAATTTTGGTTCAAACTCTGAATCTTAGGTTCTTCATTTCTTTAAAGGGGACACTGAACCTCTCTTGCAAAGTCATTGGGAGAATTACAGGAGCTAAAAGATGTAAAGCATGTAGTATTAGAGCTCGAGGTCCTTACCCTTTTGGTGCAACTGACAAGAGGAATCTTAGCAGTATGTTTTCCCAGCTTCTGCCACAAAGCTTTACTCTTAAAAAGACTACGGTCAAAACATACGTGTTTTTTCTGTCACAAACAGGTGGGGAATACTAGACCTGTGCCAGTAACAGATAGATCAGCTACCCAACTCAACCCTTACAAGCAACCAGGTTAGCAAAGAGGTGTAGCAAGCCCAGGGTCACACAGTTGGTAAGCACTTCCCTGAACTCAAAGGTTCGGCACTCAGGTCGCACTGTCTCCATCACACTAGAGCTAGTTTGGAGTGTCAGTCTTGGACAAAATGCTTTCCATATTCAGTGCTGTGTAGTCTTTCATAGACATATAAAAAGAAATCCGGAAATTTTTCCTGAAAATATTGGGAAGGTTCTCCAATTCTCAACTTCACCCTGAAATGAAATATAAATGATTAGGCGTGCTTGCTCCAAATTCCTCTCCCCCTTTTTATATGATCCAGAGTATCTCTATGGTTCACAACATTCTTTGTTCACTTGATTCCTATAGCAGAATGAAAGAGGACTTGGATTCTGACATAGAAAGATTCATTTCCTGACTCTGCAACTAACTGTGCAAACTTTGGGAACTTAATCTTTCTGAACCTTGGTTATATCATCCACATAATTGGGATAATATAATTCCATAATCCCTTACCTGCAGAGGCCCAAGTCCTGACAATAATATGGTTTTTGTGAATTGGCAGCAAACACTTTGGCCAGAAATGCTAATATGGTGGTGTGTATATGTTGGGAGTTTGGGGTATGTCTTAGAGTTTCATAACACAACCTTCACTGTACCCAGGTGCTTGCTTCCTGTGCTCTGTCACACAGCGGAGTCACTAGTCATCTGTTCAGTAACTCAACAAAACCTAAAAATGTAGGTGAGTGCCCGCAGGTCAGGTGCACCATTCATTGTAATGATCCTTTTCCAAACAGAGAGGAAGAATCGCTTTTCTTTCATCAAAATAAACTTTCTTCTTTCCATCAAATAACAGATATAAATTTAGAATTGGATTTTTTAATCATTCTCATTTCATGTATGACTCATGGAAATGAAAACAATAGTTACTTTTCTTTTCTTTTTTTTCCCTTTATCATTTTTATAATTACTACCCACCATGTAATAAGTATTACATTAGGCCTTTTACATATATTTTTATATATTTTATTTAGTATAATACTTACATCATTTTTCATTTTTGCACAATGCATGCATTTTCATTTTGGCTATATTCCCCATACATTTGCACCCCCCTTATTTTGACCCTAGTCTCCCCTCTCCTCCCCACCCCCCCACCCCCGTAGTGTGTCTCTGGTTTACAGTTGCTTGTTGATTTTGATTTTTTCTTTATTACAATTAGTCTTTTTCCTGGTCCCTTATTTGGGTTTAAAACATCTTTTCTTTTTTTTTTAATGCACAGTGGAGATGGTACTTTATTTTTTTTCAAAGATTCATTTATTTATGCATACAAGAACTGGGGTATAGGCCAGAGGTGTGGAGGGTGAGAGGATTCACCAGAGACAGAGTGGGGAACAGAACAGGCAAATTGACTGAAATACACTGTTGAGGGGAGCAGCAGGCAAGTCAGGAGAGGTCTGCTGCGCCATATGGGTCTCCTCCCTGGCTGGGGATCGAACACATGCTACAGCAGCTGCTGACAGCTTCATAGGTTGTGAATTAACCCCTTGTGCTACCAGGGAGGCCCCAACATTACTTACTTTTCATTCTTTTTTTCATGAAGATGTTGTCTTGTATTCCGGATGAATCTTAGCAGATCACCCACAGTGTTCTGATACCTACCGTCTTTTTTGTAAAACTGATCCATTTGTTTCATAAAATACTCATCAATCTAAACAACATCACGCAGAAACATGACAAAACAAATTCACATGGAATGAAAAATCAAAAAGGCAAAATACAAGTTTGAATATATATCAAAATTATCACCAATTAATAAAGCATATTAAGAAAAAGAAAAAGTAAATTCAGTATATCAAAATGCCAGCTGCAGTTGTGTTTGGGTGTGGGATTATAAGTAACTTCAAATTTGTGTATTGATTTTCCAATGAATTGTTTTCAAAGGAATTAAAATATTAAAGCATGGCTTAGAAAATGTTGGCTACTATACTGAGAAATTTGTCTATAATACTATATGGTATTTTATTCCATGTGGCAACCTTCCAGATTTGTACTTGATGACACTGTGTCCTTAAGTATACCTGTCTAGAATGAAATCAGGCCTGACAGCCATCACCAAAGTGAATATAGTTGTTTTGATTTAAACTCCTGTCCCTATATGTCTATAAGTGGATGAAGGGAGGGTTATTAACACCTCCTTCCTTTTGAGTTTGGAAAGACCAAGATGCCAGAGGATTCCTCAGGAAGAATAACTGGTGACTAGATCGATACTTGGAGAACACTGAGGCTGCTCTCGTGTGTTAGGGGCAGACATGTGTGAGAAATGCCACAGGAGCACTGTGGTTGTTGCTGCTGCAGGGCACAACAGGCTTTGAGAGCTGGCCTCATGGGGAGCCTCATGAAGAGAGAGACCCATGGTGCATGCAGTCTGTGGGTGAGACCTGTGCTCCAGGACAACAGCGTGTGCTGCAATATGGCAGCCCTCAGGCAGGTACTCCCACAGCCGGGGTGACAATAATTTCCTGCCAGATCTCATCTTAGCTCAGGTCTAGACAGCCAGCCTGGGTTTTACTTGTAAATACCACACCAGAATTATAAATGGACCAATCAGGTTGGACCGCCTAGCAGTGACATTCCAGGTTTTTGAGACCATTCAATATTGTAAATAGACCAATCAGATTTGAGATTGACCAGCTGAAACTGTAAACATTTTTTAAAATCATCTTGAAAGGCAGGTACTCTGATGGGGATATAAGCTAGGGTTTTGGAGGGCTTGGAACCCATTAATCAGAGAGATTCGTTGGGACACAGACCTTTGCATCATATCTCCTCTTTCCACTGCAGCTGGACCACTGCTCATGTGCATGGTATTTCTAAAGGAGCTTTCTGTTCTTGGCTTATGCCAACAGCTCCCTAAGAGCTGTAGCATTGGGGTGCCTCTGGCACTTCTGCCTGCTGACTGATGCTGACTGGTACTGGAGTGTTCAGTTACCTCTGAAAGCTGTCTACCACTTACCGGCGTTGTGTCAGGCAACACCACACTCTCAAAGAAATGGGAGTCGTGAAGCAAACAGTTATGGCAGGATGCTGCCAAGAAGGCAAAACCTGGCCTTTTTATTGATTAAATGATTTTACAGAGTCAATTACTCAGGGCAGGAGAACAACAACAAAAAAAAAAGTTAGAAGGAATTGAATGTATTCTTAGGTTATCTAGGCTTTGGGTAAAGATGAGTCTGAGGATCCAGATTAGTCTTATGACCCATGTTTGAAGATTGAAATCAAGCTTCCGACCCCCATTAGTGGTTCTGATCTTATTAGCAAGGCATTCCACTGATCAGTCTCTGCCATGCAAAGTTACCTGTAAGTCTACACCTCCCCAGGCATTCCTCATCATGCCTCATGACGCATACTCATTGTCCCAGGGAATTAAGCATCCTGCTCTTGTTTAACTTGAGAGGAACCTTTGCAGAATCGGCAGTTTGCATTCTTTAAGTCTAGGTATAATTGATTGACTGGGCCAAATGGACCTTGTACTGAAAAGGCCAAACTGCATAGCCAGAATGGCAGCTTAAGCAGCCTTTTAAGCCTTGCAGACCCACAACTGGTATGCCACCAGCTCCAGCTTCTCATAGAAAGGGCAATCCATCTTTCACTAGCAATCTTTGGTTTGGACTACTGGACGCTGTGGACACTATCTGGGGTGGTATGGCTGGCCATCAGTGGCCTTAGAAATTCTTTCTTTTTTTCTAATTACCTGCTTATTAATAAACCCCATTTGTTGCTGCATCCTAAGCCTGTGTGGTGTCTTGCAATTGTGAGCACATGGGTAAGAACCCACAAAAAGTGACAAGTCCCCTAAACCTTTGCATTGTTTTATGCTGAGAAATGTTTGTGTGACAGTAGCGGGAAACCTGTGGAAAGATTGCAAGAGTATGCTGAATACTTGACCACAAAGCTAACAGGATTATTATCCAGGTCCTTCTCAGAGAATAAAGCTTGAGGAAAGAGGCACAGAAAAGGAAAAAGCTCCAGAGGTGGGTCAAGGCCACCTTCAAGAGAGGCCCAGATAAGATTCTGTTGAGAGGGTCTGGCTTCAGAAAAGGAGAGCTGACACTCAGAGGGATAATCCCCTCTTTCACTCCTTGGTTACACCAGGCAAATAGTATTAAAAGAATGTTAGAAAAACTAATATAACATATGACACAGAGCTATTCATGAAATGACTCTAGATCATAGGAAGGGTTCGTACCTTAGCCTTCCAGCGGTTAAAACTTTTGGAATGTTCAGAAGATTTAGGCTCCAGCAGTTGAAAGATCTTGCTATTAGGCTTTCGAATTTTGATGTCATTTTCATTTCCCACTTCACTCAGGGCCCTATAGCGACTGAGGATGACAGGATTATCATGATCATTCCAACCTTTCCAATCTTTCCAGAAAGAGAAAACCACTAATTTTGGTTTTTGATAAAGATAGTAGAACCATGTCTCTAAAAAATCTGCATCATGGGAAAAGAAAACCAGAATCCAGGTGGATAAGTGAACACTCCATGCCAAGTTAAGAGAATAACCTTGGGCTTGCTGAGCCCTGACACCTCCCCATGACACCTCACTGTGACACTTAATTTACCTGCTAACTTGACTGGCCAGAGGGTTCCCAGACTAAACACTATTGTGAGGTGTCTATGAGAGTGTTTCTGGATCAGATGAACATTTGAATCAGTGAACTCAGTAAAGCAGATGGCCCTCCCCAATGTGTGCGGGTGTCATCCAATCCTTTGAGCACCCGAATATAACAAAAGGCTGAATTCACCCCTCTGAGCCAGATTGCTTCAGCCTGAACATGGATCCCCTCTTGCTCTCAGTGCTCCTTCAGACCCTTACAGGAATCTACATCATCAGGTCTTTGAACATGGCCAAATTACATGTTGGTTCTCCTGGGTCTCCAGCTTGCAGATGGCAGTTCATGGAACTGCTCATCTGCCATATTGAATGAGCCAGTTCTTAAATTTCTTCACATATATTCACATATATTGGTTTTATAAATAGATAATAGATTATAGATATAGGTAGATAGAGAAGACATAGAACATATGTAAAGAATAATATATAAAGAATATATGGAATTAGTAGTATATATTAATTATTGATTACTAATATAAATATTATATAAAATATATGACACATTATGGGTATAGATATGTGTGTATGGATGGATGCATTCATTCCATTAGTTCTATTTCTCCAGAGAACCCTGACTGATCCACTACTGTCTTCCTTCTGGAGCTCTAGGACATTCTCTCAGGGTTTACTTACCTCTCCCAACTCCAAAAGAAGGGATGCCCCAGCAGGCCACTTAGGTCTGTAAATTCTTCCTTAGGAAAGATCAGATGGTGAATGAGGTTTTCAGTTTCCACATCTGGAGAAAGTCGAACCACGTCTTCATTACTTTTAGTCTTCAGTCTTTCAAAAGGGATGTCTCCCTTTTTTACAACATATATGACCAGTAGTCCGAGGTCCTGCACAAAAGCCAGAAGTTTAAAAAAAGTAACTCATGAATTATCACTCTATTGGGGGCAACCTTGCAGGGTGTGGTGCAGGCCAAGAACAAAATGAAGACTGAAGGAACCCTAAAGAGTTGAAGTTAGTTGCAGAGAGAAAGCACAGGTTTGTGCATAGAGAACTCTTCAAGGCAGCAGAGGGTCCCCACAATTTAGATTTGCAAGGAGGAAGTGGTAATCCAGAGTTATTATGGTAGCTTACTTAAAGGAAGAGAGATTTGAGTTGGACCTTAAAATATGGTTAGAATTTAGACAAATAAAGGAAAGGGAAAGTATTTCAAATGAGAGGAATGTCAGGAGTATTTCTGGGAACTGGGACTTTGGCTCAGTGCTAGGTTGAGCAGCAGATAAAGAGAGCTAGTCTGAGGTCAGTGAGAGACAGGAATGGTCCCAGGAGTCAGGTCACAGCAGGAAAGAAAGGTCAAGAAGATGATCAGCACAGGAACTCCCTGTACAGACAAGACACCAGTCAGGTATCACCTGACTGTAGTCACCAAACCATAAAGACAGGATGGAGAGCGTGGCCCACTGGAGAACTCTCTAAGGAAACATCTGCCTTAACAGGGTCAGAAACAATCTGGGAGTTTTAATCTGCAGAGATAGGCTCTGTCTTTTCTCAGGAGAAACAGCTATTTCAGGGCCTCAAACTCTGTGGCAGGTTTAATCTCTTTTGAGCTAGGGATCAACTCTCTCCCCAGGTGCTTCTGGAGGACTTGTTATCTGGTCCTTTTAGTAGCTTGAAGTGAGTAAGGAAAGAAATCTCAATTACTTTGTCCTTAGGCAGGAACTTTTATAAGAATTCTGGAAATATTTTGTATATACCTTCTAGAAGTAATTCAAGATGTAGAGTATGCTCAATTAATTTTCTTATTTGGCTAATGGGGGAAGAGAGAAGCAGAGAATGAAGTCACGGGGACAACCAACTGCACACCAACCTAGGGAAATACGGTTTTCTACAGGGAGCAACAACAGTGAGCACTGGGGAGGACTTGAACATGCTTTCCCTTTTACTTACAATAGAAATGTCCTCCACCTGGCCATGGGAAATAAGGTAATGAAGGAATAAGGAAGCAGAAATGTTCATAAGTAAAATGACTCTAGTTACCTTTAGATCTGTTTTGATTTCCTGTTTTCTAGTCATCTTGATGCTTTTATCAAAATCTGCCAGGCAAATAGCATCATTGGAATCTATGAGAGAATTTGTATAGGTGCATTGAAAATCCTCATTCTCTATAATTCTTTTAAATAAATATGTAAAACAATATGAAATCCATCATCTCTGAAGAAGGCAATAATAATGCTATGTATCCACTGCTGTTTGTGTCTCAAAACACTGTCATGTGCACTATGTTCACTGAGTTATTAAATATCTGCTGAGACTAGGACTTAACTTTTACTTTTTCCAGGTCATGGAGTGAGGAAGGATAGGAATAAATTTAGCTATCTCCTCATTTATGAAATCCCTGGGAGCAAAGAGCACAAATTTGTAAAAGAGCTAAGTTAAGGTTATATCCTAAGACTAAAGAGAAACTAGCCAACAAGACTCCAAACCCAAGACCATCTGAGCGTGGTGTTCCACCAATCACCCTGACGAGCCACAACCCACTCTGACATTATTATCAGTTTTCAGCCAGGGGACAAGTATCTGTGTCCTCTTAAAATATTTCCCCCTTGAAGAAAACCGCTGAATCTTCAGAAATAGTGATAAATAGATGAGAGAGCTCAGAAACCAGAAGGAGGAAATTCAGTGACATGTCCTTTAAGGGGTGAGCCCTGCATCTGGCTTAAAGGAGTCTGAGAAGGAAGACTCAGTAGCCTCAGATAGGATGATGGCTAATGCAAGGTGTGCTTCTTGAACCCTATTATCCTGAACCCAGACATCAAAGTTGTGTGGAAACCCCAGTCTAATGAAAAAGAACCCATCAAATTATTGCACAAGTGTTTGGTGAGGGGGAAATGATGGTGACGAAGGATAATACAGTCTGTGCTCTACAGAGTTTAGAGCCTCTGGGCAAGGAGATAAATATGAAATAATCATACATATAAATATAAATTAATTATGATTTTGAAAATGCTAGCCAATGGTGCAGAATGTTCTGAAAATGGATTACAAGAAGAGCTATGTGACTATGGTGGGGTGGGGTGGGGGCAGAAGTGTTCCGCAAGGGACAGACATCTAGACGGAAAAAGTAAGTACAGTTTGAGTCAGTGATTGGAGTTGGGAAGAGAGGATTCCAGATGAGAAATCCCGAAGTAGAAAGGAACATGGGAAATTCTGCTCTGATATAAAGCAAGCCCAAGTTCCTGGAGAGAGAGATGAAGTCAGAAAGTGGCTTGAAGTGAGAATGAAGAAGATGATAAACCAGGGATTGTTTTAAGTTATATGAGTTGAAAATTTCCCACCATTGTTTAAATCACTTTGAATTGAGGAGTTTTTTTTTAAAGATTTATTTATGCATATACGAACTGGGGTACAGGCCAGAGATGTGGGGAGGAGGAGGTGAGAGGATTCACCAGAGACAGAGTAGGGAACAGAACGGGCAGATTGGCTGAAATACACTGCTGACAGGAGCAGCAGGAGAGACAGGAGGGGTCTGCTGCGCCATGTGGGTCACCTCCCTGGCCGGGGATCGAACTCGTGCTGCAGTGACTGCAGGTAGATTCATAGTGCTGTGTCTTAACCCCTTGTGCCACCAGGGAGGACCCTTGAATTGAGGTTTTTGCTACTTAAATCTTCAGGTGAAATGTTTCACATCTCTTCCAACACTTATTTTTTTTACAGGCCCCAATTATTTTATTTTTATTTTAGCAGGCATTGCGAAAGTGCTGTGAGATTTTTTAAATGCTTACTCAAAAATTTTCAAACAATCACTCACAGTGTCTGTATTTTTATAATCACAGAAAGTTAACAGTTAATGGGTGTCATTAGAATGAAATCCACTCACTCCAAATTCTGCCAATGAATCAAGAACTTCAATTCTCTTTTATCTCTGCTCTTCAAACTTAACCCGTTCCTCGCTCCCAGCACTGATTCATCTAGAATTAATTCATTTAGAATTTTTTTAATTATCAAAACAGCAATATATGTTTAGCTTACTTTTAAAAAAATAATTTTTCTTTGTTCATTCTTGCTTCTCATACATCATTATTTTCTCCCAAGCCTTTTTTTTCTCTTTCTTTAGGAACATCTTATAGCACTTCTTTCATTTAGGATCTCTGGGTAGAAGTTTTCCTTAATCTTTGAATACTTAAAAACATTTATTTTGAATCAAGAGTGGACAATAATAAATTACCTATTGTTTTTTTTTTTTTAAGATTTATTTTATTTATACAAGAGCTGGGGTACAGGCCAGATGCGCAGGAGGGTGAGAGGATTCACCAGAGACAGAGCGGGGAACAGACCAGGCAGACTGATGAAATACACTGCTGAGGGGAGCAGCGGGCGAGATAGGAGGTCTGCTCACCATGCTGGTTGCTTGGAAGCAGGTAGGGATTGAACCCGCACTGCAGGGGCTGCGGACATCTTCACAGTGCTGTGCTCAATCGCCTGCGCCACCAGGGAGGCCCTTACCTATTGTCTTAATCAGATCCAGCTACTATAACAAATTACCATAGACTGGGTGACTTAAGCAACAGAAATTCACTCCTCACAGTTCTGGATGTTGGAAATCAGAGCTCAGAGTGGCAGCAGGGTTAGGATCATGGTGAGGATGCTGTTCCTAGTTTATAGAGTCACCTTCTTGCATTTTATTCAATGAAACTCAGAGATGAAAAGGACATGTGACTTAGCAGGATGTGTTGGGACAATGTGGGTCTTTAATTGTTTTTGTTTCTCTTGAGCTCACAAACCACCCAGTGTCTCATATAATATACTGTCTGCAGACACGCCTGCCACAGATGTTTGACAGGGCCCTTGGGGAAGACCAGAAGCACAGGGTTTGATGTTTCTAGTTACTACTGATGCAACAATCTACTTATTAGCTCACCCTTCCACCTCCCCTACTTCTGCCTTCCGTTACACGTGGTGTCTTCTCTGCATGGCAGACACTTTGATGAATAGTATTTATCTCCATTTATCCTGGGTTCCTGTGTCTTCCTTCAATCCTGTTGTATCTATGTTTAGTGTGTCTGATTCTTCAAAGATTTTGACCTGTAATAAATCTTTTTATTTTGATCTCAGCTATGAATTTGTTTAAAAACCTTTTCCTATCCTTTTAGGAAGTGAATGCAGTGAAATACTTTCAGTATCTATTAGGTAAGCCACTATGAGGCAAATACACAATTCTTTATTGTTCAAATTTAAGAAGGTATGGAGAAAGAACTTTCAGTGAACAGGTAGTGTACAGTTAATGATCTTTGATCCTTTTGCATCAAAACCATCAGTTAGAACTTGGAAGGACCTCACTCTTGGCTGAATCTTGAAGTCTCTGTCTTACTTGGTAAAGTTGCACAGATTACTGATCCTTTTAAGTTTCCCCAGCAAAGTCTCTTAAACCTAGGAAGGAGTGCCACTAATACCCAGGAACTTAAAGGCTGTTCCTTGCCTCTCAATACCTGAGCCCTCTTTTTGCCTGTTCCCTTACACTGAGGTTAAATTTCAATGCATGTCTACAAGTCAGGATCTGCTTCCATTTAACTCTCTAGACAAGGATCTGGCCTTTGCTGAGTGTGTACAAGGTACAGTTGGCTTGCCTACCTTACACATTGCACTAAATACTGTCAGTGTCAAATGAAGAAACCAAGGCTCACAGATTAAATGACCAGTCTGAGGTTACAAAGCTACAACATGATAGAACTAGCCCACAAGTCACACTACATGGTGTTAAAATCAAGGCTCTTTCTTAAATCTCTACAGTTCATTGCCTCCTGGGATTTCACACTCAACACAGCTTGCTTTCTTTTGTGATGCTTTTGTGTATTTTGTGTTACGTGTGTGTTGGTGGGTTTGGGCTAGTGCATGCTCACTTGTTCTGCCTGCTTGGTATCTATTTCACTGTGTCACATCTTGTCCTGATATCCCCCATTTTGACCTTGGTTTTACCATTTAGTTTTACCAGTAACCACCACCTTTGTTTGAAGAAACACACCTCAGGATTCTCTGACTTTCAGTCTAATCTAGAAATTCAAATTTCTGAAGCTGGCTCCATCTAAGATGGACCTTCGTATTTGTATTTTCCAAAGGCAACATAAGGTTAGCCTGGCATCCACGACCTCTGTGGGGGGCAAAGAGTTATAACTGGTAGCAAGAGAGACAGGCCTAATTATGAACTTGTTGTATTCAAATTGAATATTTACTCAAGCCTTTCCTGCCTGCAACAAAAGAACAATTCCTTTTGTAAATAAAGACCTGCCATTTATGAAAGAAGACCAGGGAGCAGGGACATACCTATTAAGATGTTTCGTGGCTGCAGGTCTTGGTGAGCATATCCACACTGGTGCAGCCCTTTGACTGCTTTAAATATAGAAGAGAGGACTTTCCGGGCAAACTTATCTTCCTTGTTTCCCACGTCTGCCCTTTTGCGGGCATTGAAGTGCTCCTCCAGTGTCTGCTCGCAGAGGGTGAGGCACACATACAGGCAGTCACTTTGCCTCTCACTCTCATAGAATGTCACCAAGTTACTCTTCTCCCGGCAACTCTGCAAACAGGAGACTTCCTTTTGCCCCAGGGTACTGCCTTCATAGAATCGCTTCACAGCTACCTCCTGTTCTCCATAGAACCCCAAGTACACACCCCCTTCAGAACTGTCTGCAATTTTATAGTCTTTATCAATAAATATCTTGAGCCTGCCAATCATAGGGCGGTGTATCTTGTGGAGCTGTTCCAGGGCCCGTCCCCAACGTGAGCTCTGAGACTTCCAGGCTTTAGAAGGAGGGTCAAAATCTTCTTTAGCTCCATGTTTGCGAAGAAATAGTACCAGGGGCCTGTTATAATTGCGCCTTGCCATCATGATGAGATCTCCACGATCTGTGCAGGCTCCCTTGTTGCACAACAACCGGGCAATTTCACTCTGGTTTTTTTGGACGGCAACCGACAGCGCTGTATTGCCATCTCTGTCCTCGTCATTAACTTCTATATGTTCTTGTTCCAAAAGCAACTGCACCAAACCCAGATGCTTCTTTTCCACTGCCAGGATCAGGGGTGTCTTCCACTCTTCTCCCCTCACTTTGATATCAGCCTTATGACTCAGCAGAAGGCGAGTAATGGCCTCCACTTTGCTAGCATCGGAATTCTTCAGCGCGTAGATCAATGCATTGCTGCCCCTGTTGTCTCGGGCATTGACATCTGCCTTCATGTCCTCAAGGAGGAGTTTTACCACCTCCACATGTCCTTCTTCCGCAGCGCTCATGAGAGCTGTGGTCCCTCCTTTCTTAAGCTTCTCTTGATCCTTCGTTGTCTTTCGACCCAAATTCACGTCTGCTCCCTTTTCATAAAGGAACTTTAAGGCTTCGATGTGACCATACATAGCAGCTTCCATGAAAGCTGTGAAGCCATTAGAATCACACTCATTGACTTTTGCTCCTTTGGAAAGGAAAAGTTGGAGCAGATTCACATCTCCCATGATCCCAGCGATGATGAAGGGAGTGGCCTCATTCCTCTTCTTCAGACAAGGGTCAGCACCATGATGAAGGAGAAGATCCACAAGGTCCTCCCTGCAGTTCTGTACTGCGACATGCAGAGGTGCCCAGAGCCCTATCTCTTCCTGGAAATTGACATTAGCTCCTCTTTCCAGCAATTGCTTGACTAATTTGATGTCTTCTTTTCGAACAGCTTCTATCAACAAGAGATTGTCTTCCACTGTAACCCTCTCTCTGCTGGAAGACATGGGTTCCACCTGAGGGTCATTACAGCTGTTGGTCTCCATGATGCTAAATATCACTGGCTACAGTCTTTTGCCTTTATTTTGAGAAAATGAAAACTTATCTCTTTGGACCTTAATCAAAGAGACATGGAGCTCTCAGAAACTCAGTCAGGGTAAACTGGTCTGACTACAGGTCAGCAGCACGAGAAAGGACAATACTCTTGGAGTCTTCTGACATGCCACCTCGAGACAAGAAAGGTATTTTGTAATTTTATTGTAGTGAGAAAACATTTTGAACTGGGAAAGTTAATTTTACTATCAAGTTTTCAAATACATCAACTTATTTCTTGCAGAAATTTTCATGAAAAATATTATGCCTCCAACGCTTCTGACTGTACCCAGTGCTTGCATGAATAAATAAATAAAACTTTAAAAAATATAATATGAATCTCGGGCCTCCCGGGTGGCTCAGCGGTTGAGCGCTGGGTTGCGAAGCTGCCCGCAGCCTCCTCAGCGCCGGTTCGATCCCTGGCTGCTCCCTGGCCACCGGAGGAGGGTCCCACATGGCGCGCAGATCTCTCCTGCCACCCGCTGCTCCCCTCAGCAGTGTACTTCTGCCTGCTCTGCTCCCCACTCTGGCTCTGGTGAATTCTCTCACCTTCCCGCGCTTCTGACTATACCCAGTGCTTGTATAAATAAATAAATAAATCTTTAAAAAATATATAATATGAATCTACCTAAATTAAAAACAAGAAAATTATCAAGAGCTCCACTAGCCATTGCTAATATTTTAGTATGTTTCTACAGATTTTTTAAAATAATTGGTGTCATGCTATGTAAGTAACATTGTATCTTGCTTCCTTTCATCTAGTGTATAAACAATTCCCTGTTATTACAAAGTCTTTGAAAGCATTTTTAGTGGCTGTGTAATATGCCATCAGACAGTTGTTTTCACTACCTTATTGCTGAGCAGTTTTTTTAAGTTACTTTGAGCCAAGATTTTTTTAATTAGATTTTTTAAAAAAAAATCTAAATAATGTTGCAGCAAATTTACCTTATTTTAGCCTGCTTGCTTGTAATAGATCTTATAAAAGATTCCTCATGATAGATTTCAAAGAATTAAATGGTTGATCAAAGGGTATGAATCTTAATCTTCAATTTTGTTTCAATGTCAAATAAACACATTCTGACTAGAAGTAGATGGCCTCATTAAAAAACAACCCAGATTCCTGCAACATGTCAGAAGAGTGAGGACACTGGGCTAGCCTCCTCCACATATGTACAGCCAAATTAAAAAATTAAGACAAATATAAATTAAGACAACCCCTGGGGGATGACCAGATCACTACTGTGTGCACAAAGAGGGACTACATGGCCAATGGCTGAGAAAATTGAAATTTAATTGTGTTCAGTGTTACCAGGCCAGGACAACCGAAGACAGGGGTGGGGGGACTACCACACAGAGCCTCTCTCTTGTTGTTGACTAGAGGGGTCACACCCACATCGGGGATGTTAGAACACAGAGAGTGTGCTGGGAAGGGGAGCAAACATAATTGGTGTGCTGGATGGAGGGTTCTACCTCCAGAGAGCTGTAAGAGTAGGGGAATAGAAGAGCTGCAACAGAACAATGAAGTAGTAGACCAATCCCTGCAAAGGTGGACACTACACTGTCAGATAGTAATTAGGCACCCAGAGCCAGAGAGTGAAACACCCCTGAATAGAGGAGCTTGAGGACAGTGAGCTACAGCTGGTGTAGAATTTGTATAAGGTGCTGACTGTTGGTTTGAGTCTCTGGAACCCAAAATGGTGTGGGGAAGGTTAGATTGGCTTGCCGGTGCCTCCATAAAGAAGAGTGAGTTTCTTCCCTAAAGTGTGCAGCTATATTATGCAAAATGCCTGCCTCATCCCCAATCTGGGGCCAACTCCAGATAATAACTGTATATGCTGCATACTACTATTAACCAGAGATCCAAGCACCTGTAACCTAGAATTAGGGACAAGGGCAAGTTTCTGTATTTGAAAGGCAAAGGAAACAAACCATGGCTGGGACTCTATCCCAATCCCCTTCCAGTGCTAGGAAGATTGAGAGAGGTATACGGGGAATCAGTCTTGTATAGAAGGCATATGAAACCTTGAGAACACACACTCTCATATGCCTGTAATCAGAACCAGGACAGTAGCCTGTCTACAGTGCAAACAAGCTGCTCTGAGATCATTCTGCTATGTCCAAACCCCTGGAGGTATGTGGGGGTTGGAGAGACCACAGGTCACAGAATCCACATACCACAGTTAAATAACAGTTGTGTGGTTGACAGGAGTACACAAAGAACTCATCTAACTTAACAGCAAAAATACAAGCAACCCAATTTTTAAAAATGGACTACAAATCTGAATAGACAACTTACTGAAGAGGATACGCAGAAGGTCAACATATATATAAAGAAATGCTCATGCCAGTTAATAAGGGAATGCAAGTCAAAGCCAAAATGGGATAGCATCTCCCATCTGTGAGAATGCCATGCATCAGAAAGACATCAACAAGTGCTGGAGAGGATGTGGAGAAAGAGGAACCCTAATACTTTATTGGTAGGTGTGTCAATTGGTGCAACCACTTTAGAAAGCAGGCCTTATATTAGAAAGCAGGCCTTATATTAGAAAACTAAAAATGGAAATACCGTATAATCCAGTAATCTGACTCTTGGGTATCAATCCTAAAAACATGGATTCTGCAACTCAAAAAATTATATGTTCACAATGTTTATTGCAGCATTATTTTCAATATTTAGAATTTGGAAGCAACCTAGGTGCCCACAGATAGGATCAGATAAAAGAAGACATAGTATATACACATACTAGAATACAATTCAGCTATAAGGATAGATGAAAAGTTATGATTTATATCAAAATGGAAGGAAGTCAAGAAGATTATTCAAAAATGAAGTAAATCAGAAAGATAAAGGCAAATGTCAGATGCCTTTATATATATGAGAAACAGAAGGAAACAAAGCAGATGAGCTGACAAAGTAAAATAATTATAAATACTCAGACACTGATGACCAGACTGAGGTTTCTGGGTTAAGAGGGAGGGGGAAGGAGACAGGGGCAAAGAGGTATAAAGGCCTGGTGGTGGGAGAAAATATGGTGAAAGTGGTAAATATTATATCATGTGTATTTTATCACTATTCTCAAAAAAGAAACAATAGAAACAAATTAACAGATGAGCTAGATATTAAAGTAAAACAGAATAGATATAGAATATGAATGATTAATATATTTTTAAAATTGGGATTTTTAAAAGAGGAGAATTTAACCAGGGGTTTGGTATCTTAAATGATGAAATGGGAATTTTAGAAGGAAACTTGAAATTAATCTAAAGTTAAGAATTCAGCAGATGCATTTAACACAGCGTCAGACACAGCAAATGACAGGATTATGTAACAGGCCAACAGAAGCTATCCAACCTGAAACAAATGGAAAATATACACATTGGGAACACAATAAAAAATAACTTGAACACATTCAATGGTGATGCAGCTGCAGAATCATGCAGAATTAGTTATGACCAAAAAAGCTGTTTCATCTTTTATATAAAGGTTTCATGTTTTATATAAGGTTAAAAAATCAAATTGAGGGCCTCCCTGGTGGTGCAGTGGTTGAGCGCTGGGTTGCGAAGCTGCCCGCAGCCTCTGCAGCGCCGGTTCGATCCCCGGCTGCTCCCCGGCCGCCGGAGGAGGGTCCCGCATGGCGCGCAGCCCTCTCCTGCCGCCCGCTGCTCCCCTTAGCAGTGTACTTCAGTCCTTCTGCCTGCTCTGCTCCCCGCTCTGGCTCTGGTGAATTCTCTCACCCTCCCGCGCTTCTGACTGTACCCAGTGCATGTATAAACAAAAAAAAAAAACAAACAAAGAAATAAATAATAAAACATGCCTCAATAAAATAAATAAATAAAAAAAAAAAATCAAATTGAAAAAATTTAAAGTCCAGAGTCTTCATTTAATAGGAAGATAGTTCTGCCAATTCATAGTTCTTATTCTATCTGAAGGTTGATCCCTCTCCGTGTTTGCAGGCCCTGTGCCTGTCCTACCTGTGCTTAGTGTACACTTACTCAAGGCTTACCGAGCAGGAAAGAACTTGGACCCTGACCTCCTCAGCTGGATCTAAGCTTGAGCCCCAAATTGTTTATCAGTAGACTGTTACTTCCTTAATTGTGTAGCCAGAACTTATATCCACTTCTTATTCCATGGAGGCAAAGATCATTTCAGTGACTCATATATACATAGAAAGTTCACTGAAGTAGGGGGTGTGGCAAATATTAGGCACTCAATAAACAGTAAAGCCAATTATGTGCCCTTATGGAAAACATTTTTAAATTCTATTCTCCCCACTCATGTGCATATACATAGTACATAAATAGGAAAAGTGGAGTTGTCAATTAACCCAACTCCCTTCCATCAGAGCTGAATGATACAGACTAAAGCATCAGACAGCACCAAACTATTACCCGAATATTTATAAAGTTGCATCTGCCATGAAATTCACAAAGTAACTGTTTTTCAGCAATCTGCCACCCTGACAACCTCGAAGCCCCTACCACCTACAGCCCTGTAATCCACTGGGCAATATAAACTCAATGGCCTGGCAATGAAATCTCTAAACCAAGTGTTTACGTAGACAGTTGCCCACAACAGGTGTGAGATGAATTGCTAGAAAAAGGAGAAGAGTTGCAGAAACCCTGAGAAAAATATTAGAGAATAAAAAAAACAAAAACTGTAGAGAATAAACACACCCAGCAAAAGCATTGCAACAGACAAGTTCTGCTTTCAGTTTCGTTTTCCCCACCTGCCCAGAGCTGTCTGATCAACGCAGACTTGAATATAAAACGTTGGATTGTGGCAGAACCTCGGATAAGGCTGAAGATCACAACACCCTCCGGGTCTGACCCTCTGCGTGCACTGCGGGGCTCCGGTTTCACGACCACCCAGCTCCACACTCCATTTCCTCTCCAGTTCCTAAAGCTAAGGAACAACTTCTCAGGCATTTCGAGCTCTCCTCCTTCTGCCCTTCTTACCGTCTAGATTCAGTCTCCTCTGAAGTACTCTTCAGGCAGTATTACTCTTTAAATACTGTTTGTTGCCAGCAGGGAAACATTCCTCCCCGAGAAGGGGCAAGCCAGTGGGCGGGCCCAGGGAGGAGTGAGGAGCAGGGAGGTGACCCACACGCCCACATGCCTGCACCAAGTAGCCGGAAGCTGAGCTCACCAGGCACCCTCTAGAAGAAAAGAGGGGCTTTTCTGGGACTGACTTGATGTCCAACATCATGCCACTCACCTTTGCCTCGGGAGTGAGGGCATCAGCTCCATCCTTACCACCTTATTCCAAATTTTCTATCTTCCTAAGAGAACTGAATTTTACCAAATAAGCATTTATTAAGCACCCACTGTGTGCCTGGCATCGTTCATATGTGACCTGCTACCTGTGAAGCCCTAGCTATCCTGCTGCTGCTGAAACAGACTGAGAGAAGCATATTCAACCCAAAACCCTCAACTCAGCCCCCTGACGCAGCGTGGGCAGACGCTGGAGGTGTGGAAACCTGATTCTGGAGCCAGTGCTGTGACTGTTCTTTTGAATGACATCGGGTGGAAGTTTAAAGACACTGGGCCTCAGTTCATTCCTGTAATATGATTTTTAAGGCTCCTTTCCACTCTAGAAGTTCTGTTTCTGTCCATTTTCCTAGCGCTGAGATGCGTACTGTGCACTATATGAATACTATGGAGAGATGTGTTCCTGCCCTCCAAGGCTACCTGGTCTTTCTGGGAGACACTTCCGAGGGTCACGAGCAGGGAGCAGTACTCGTTCACGTGATGTTCACCAGCATGGGACCATCGGGACCCAGGGCTGTGTTGCTAATAGGCCCCAATTGTGAAAGGGGGTAATAGTTAGGGGGAAAGGATGTCCTGAGCTAATTCCATGCAGGCTTTGTGGACTCCACCCCCACTCCAGACCAAAGCCATCAGGACATTGGAAAAAACAAATCCCGCCACCACCAAAGGGAAGGTGACTGGGACCTGAGGGTGGAGTTAAGCATCCAGGTTGGATATAAAAACCAAACACATGGGCCTTGCGGGGCTCTCTCTCTCGCTCTCTCTCGCTCGCCTCCTGGCTTCACGGCTCCTGGCTCACGGCCAGCTCTCAGAGTGCCATTTGGGATTCCAGATCAGTGGATCAGGTAGGACGCATTTAAAACTTTGTCTCCCACTATTCTCCCAGAGCTGTACATTTCCTCATTTCCCCTTCCCTTGTAAATAAACCTTTTATTAACCTTTCGCGTGTGCCTGCAGTGGAGTACTGATAAGTCCTTTTAAGCGAGCTGGTGAGGACCCACAGTCAGGCACCCCGTTTTGTATTGGGGTTGCCCTGTAACACAATGACTACCAAGCCTCTTACTATCAGTCTCTCTGCTGAGCTTCAGACCCACAAATCTTGAACACGAACCAAACAGAGACCCTCATCTCTCCTTAACTCTGCCTCCACATTCTCTTCCTCTAACTCCATGAAAGGCACCCCATCTATGGCTCCAATCTTCAGCCTCACCCCAAATACAAGTCTCTACTTTCATAGGCAAAAGAATGACTAACCTCAGTTCTTTTCCTTGCTCACTGCAAGAAATGTATGGCTTGCTGCTAGCCCCTACTTTAGTGTCTTACCTGCTTCATTGACTTATCAGAGTTTTCAGGACAAGTTTCAAATTTATTTTTTTTAAGATTTATTTATTTATTCAAAAACTGGGGTATAGGCCAGAGGCATGGGAGGGTGAGAGGATTCACCAGAGACAGAGTGGGGAACAGAACAGGCAGACTGACTGAAATACACTGCTGAGGGGAGCAGCGGGTGAGACAGGAGAGGTCTGCTTCGCCATGTGGGAATCTCCCTTGTCGGCCGGGAATAGAACCTGCGCTGCAGAGGCTGCAAACAGCTTCACAGCGCTGAGCTCAACCCACTGCACCACGGGGGAGGCCCAAGTTTCAAAAAACTCTATGGGGACTACACCTGAGGGAGTGGGGGAAGCAAATATTCTTTAAAAATGAACAATGATGTAAAAATTTAAAAAATATATTAAAAAAAAAAAAAGAAAAATGTAGGAAAAAAAATTCTTAACCTGAAGGCAGGAGAAGGAAAAGGGACACAAGGCAGGGGAGGGAGGGAAAAAAGGCTTTACAAGTAAAGTTGGCCACTTAGTACTTAATTAAGTAGTCATGTGTCTATTCTCCAACTACCATGAGCCTTGAAAATATGGACAATATTCTATTAACTTTCAATCTCAGGCAAGTGGTGTTAACAGGGGCAAGGGTGGCATAGAGTGGAGAACTATTAAATAAATGAAAAAGTTAATAACTAAATGACATCTAATTCTCTAGGCAGGGGCTTTTGATTTATTACACACTTTCCAATTAATGGACTTATGAGACTTGAAACAAGTTTAGTATATTTTTTAAAATATCTTAACCCATGATTAATTCAATTAATATTTATTGAATTCTGACTATGCTGCCAGTGATTATTTTAAATCCTTGAGATTCATTCATTTTCCACACTGTGGCTCCTCTTAGAGTTCTTCTTGGAAATTGTATCCTAGCGGGAAGAAACAGATCATAAACAATTGGGAAATGCAATGTATAACAAGATTCCAGGTTAATATTTGGGCTCTGACTGTTTTATTCCTCATGGATCATTCTCTCTCACTTTGCTAGTCAAATTTATAGTAATAGCAATAAAAAATGATGATGATGATGGTGATGATAATAGAAAACACATAGCTGTGCAGTACCCTCCAGGAACTATTCTGAAACATATGTACACATAAAATCATATAATCTAAATCTTACAAGTTAGGACTATTTTTGAACTTCATTGTACAGACATGGAAACTGAGGCACAAAGTGATTAAGTAATGTGCCTTGTTCTTGGGCTTGGGGGCTACATTTCTGAAGTTGCCTGCCCTCATTCTTTTTTTTTAAGATTTATTTATTTATGTATACAAGAGCTGGGATACAGGCCAGAGATGCAGGGGGTGAGAGGATTCACCAGAGACAAAGTAGGGAACAGAACAGGCAGACTGACTGAAATACACTGCTAAGGGGAGCAGTGGGCGAGTCAAGAGAGGTCTGCTGCACCATGTGGATTGCTCCCTGGCTGGCCAGGGATCAAACTCATGCTACAGAGGCTGCGGATTGCATCATAGTGTATTGCTTGACCCCTTGCTCCACCAGGGAGGCCCTGCCTGCCCTCATTCTTGTTGACAAGCTGGACAATGAACAAATAAGTAAACTGTATCGAATATGCTTTATGGTGAAAATCCTACAGAGAATAATAAAATAGGCTATGGAAGGCCAAGGATACCAGGATGCGGATTGCAAGTGGAGACTCAAACTCCATTATTTAACACCTAATTGCATTACATTTCTTATTATTAGGATAATTCTCATTATTTATTTTTCATCTTTTTAAATTTCAAACCTTTCCTTTTCTTTTTCCTAAAGCAATTTGAGTAGGTGGACCAAATGAAAAAATTTAGTGGCAGTGAAATATTTTAAGTTCAGCAGTTAATATGACCTTTTTCTCTTTACCTAAGAGCTTGATGTTTAAAGTTAATTTCAGCCCTATTGACTAAAAGAAATCTTGTTTTAACCCTTGCAGCCACTGGGCTGTCTTACTAGTGTTGTAATAATTTCCATGAAAATTTTAGCTCTTTATCAAAATGCATTAATAAGCAAAACTACAAATTATATATCCTGGATAGGATTCCAAAGAAAGACACCAAACTTAAAATAAGAAAGTAATGCCATTTGCAGCAGCATGGATGGAGCTGGAAGGGATCATGCTCAGTGAAATAAGCCAGAAGAAATAGAAAAGTATGGATGGCTTCACTTATAGGAGGAATGTAGGGGAACCAAATAAGGGATCAGGAAAAAAATTAAAAAACAATATTAATATGCAACTATTGATCAGAGACACTGTGCAGGGGAGTGGGAAAGAGAGGGATCAAAACAGGGGATAGAATGTGTTTTTATACAAGGGACTATGGTGATGGTGCACCGGTGAATTGGAGGTGGGAATTTTGCGGGGACTACACTTGAGCGGAGAAAGCACACATTGTACAAAAAGGAAGTACGACATAAAATATATATAAAATAAAATATACAGAAAAAAAAAAAAGTAATGGCAATGGCAATGAAAAAGTCTGCATGTCGGCATGGCCACAAGGAGGCAGCAGAAGAAGAGTGATGAGGTGGGGCAGTGGTGTGGATCTGGAAAAGGCATTAATTGACCTAGGTCTGAATGAGTCCTCTCCTCCCAGTAATGTACTGGCTCACTGAATGGCTCAACCCTATGTTTCCTCAGCTGATCTGGAATGCTCCTCAAATCCTATAAAATGCAATACTGGAACAGCTGTACTAGAAAGGAAAAGTGGACTTGCAATCCTAGTTGTGAATTTTAATTCTTCCATTGAATCCAAAAAAATCAGTAAATAGTCATTGACTGATGGCTACCGTGTAAAAGGCACTGTGCTAAGTTCTAAGACTCAAATGATAATTACTAATGAGACATCAACATTCAATGTTATTGATGAGGGGACTTCTCGTTCTCATAGTACAGATGTTGGAAACCAGCCTCCACGAGGCTTAATAACTTCCAAGGTCATACAGTGAATAAACCAAGATCGTATCCCCAATTTTCCAACTCCACAGCCAGGACTGTGAACTTCTCTGTGTGAGGTGTTCTGTCCCATCCTATCAAGGTAAATAGTATGTCTCCTGACTTTGTTGTAAATATTAGTCTAGCAGAAGAAACGAGCTATGAAGAAAAGAGATCAGCTTCAGTGTCATGCCAGATGACAATCAATGTAAGAACATCTGTCCTAAAAATAAGGAAGTGGGAGCCATGAACTCTGTGTAGTGGGCATCTGGGAAGGTGACATTTTTGCTAGATTTTGAAGAAAATGTTCCCTTCCTCATTCTCCAAGTTCCAAATGAAAAAATTAAAAAAAGGAAGGAGCATTCCAAGCAGAGAGAACAGCATGCACAGGGGCCCAAAAGGGGGTTGGGAAAGAAACTGTAAGGAAAGACCACCTGGGCAGCACATACATCAACCACGTGAGAGACTTGGGCAGAAGTGAGCTTGGTCTGCTGAGGTAAGAGCAGGACTTTCTCTTTGACCATGGTGACTCAGATCTGTGCTTTATGGGAAAAGACTGGCTCCTACTGAGCTGCAGTGGGAGGTTGGGTCAGGGAGACCAGGCAGGAAGTGGCTTATCAGCCGAGGTTAGAGAGGATGACAGTCCTGGTGAGCCTGGGAAGGAGAGGCTGGATTCAGCCCATTTCCCAGACTGGACTTGATGGAGAGAAAGCATGATGGGGAAGAGGGACAGAGAAGCCCAGAGAATTTATGGGCCCCTCCACTTAGCAACATCAGGGAACCAGGAGGCAGTAAATGTTTGAGGGGGCTGATGATGACCTTGGTTTTATATGTGTTCCCTATGGTGGGCTATGGGACATCCAGGGAGAGAACTCAGGTAGGCAGTTGCAAATTGTAATCTAAAACCTTTTTCCTGCCAGATTAAAATTAATCACTAACTCAAGAGCCATTTGCTGAACACTTGCGTGCCAGGTCCTGGGTGTAGAAGACTGGAGAAGAGGACTCGCCTAATCCCAGGCATTTGCTGGGTGATAAGAGGGAGGTGAAGGGATTGAGGAGCTAAGATTGGGTGGAGGGTTGAAGGAGTGGCGTTAGGAGTGGAGGAAGGGAGGTGAGGTTAGGGGCAGAGTTTACCTAAGGGCTGTCATTTGGGTGAGCTTCAGCTCAGTGGGACAGGAAGGAGAGGGATCTGTAATCAGACTCAAAAGGCTCAGGGAAGTCTCCCCAGAAAGACATTTGAGTCAGATTTTGAAATTTGTATCCAGATGTGATAAGGCGGCAGTAGACAGCAATGATGAGAGTAGGGGACGCAGTGGGGTGGTGATCCAGTATGCAAAACAAGGGAACTTGAAATAGTGGGGAGAATCTGGGAACTGGAAGACTTATTTTCAGGGGTCAGGTGAGGGAGTCTCTAGAGAGAAGAGCTGAGAGCTACCTGCTCAGGTAGCACTTTGCCTTGCTGAGTCAAATGTGCTCTAGGGCTGAAGGCAGAGCCAGAGCCTTAAGATATTGGAACCCCCTACCTGCTGTGCCACCTCCAGGGAGTCACTTAAACTCTCAAAGAATCAATATGCTGTGGATCTCTCAATACCAGGGAGCTGTATAGGTCAGAAAGGAGTTGCTCCTTACCCCTAATGTGCCTACCATCACCAGACAAGGCCATGCTGTATGTGAGTGACAGGGCTGGGTGGGAGCAAAGTGCCAGCATCCACCCTGCTCATTGGCTGTTCCTCATCCCCAGCCCTGTTGACTCTCTATCACTCACGGTTACACCTTTTCCTACTGTGGCCCATCTCACTCCAGAAAATACACACTTGTGCCTTGCTAAACATGTTCAAAATCCTCACCCATATTAAATAAGGCTACTTGCAGTTGATTGTACTGTTACTGCTTTTGGTTTTCAGCCAGGCAAATGGGATGCACTCACTTATTGCAAACGTGTGTAAAAAGGCAAAAAGAGGAAAGCAGAGTCATGAGAAAAGGTTAGTGTCACTACCTGCCTGCCTCCCTGGGAACCGGTCTTTCCTCATCCACCTATTTCTCCACCAGTCCTTGCTCTTTGGAAGTCCCCACAGTATTACTGGGTTCAGATCACCTCTCTGCGGCTCTCAAGCTGCCTGCCCTGGGCACCACACTCCCCATCTGTGGTGGGGTAGTCACACCCCTCCTGCAGAAGTGTCAGAAGGATCAATGAGCTCAGAGCATGCCCTTGTCTTCCTTCCCAGGTCCTTACACTGAAAGACCCTCCTGGCATCACCCATAGAATTGTCCCTTAGACCTGGGCTTCGAGTGTGATTCCTTGGGGTCTCCTCGCAGTAGTAGATCTCTCAGCTGTGGTCACTTCACTTAATAGAGGAAAAATAAAAGGCAATAGAAAGTCTGTATATACATAGATCATTCAACAGAGAAGAATTATTTTTTAATAGTGGTTATAAGGGAAAAATGAGAAGGATTAGTAGACGAGAAAGGAGAACGACATGGATGGACCTCGAGGCTATAAGCTTATAAGTCAGGTGGAGAAAGACAAACACCATGTGATTTCACTCCTAGGTGGCACATAACAAATGGAAGAACAAAAAACAAACTCTTAAGGCAATAAGAACAAAAGAGCAGTTACCAGAGGGAAGGGGGAAGAGTCAATCCGTAAAAGGAGCCAACCGTATGATAATGGGGAGAAACTAGATTTTCAGGGGCGAACATAGTGTAATATATATCGATATTGAGTCAGAAGGCTGTACACCTTAAATCTACATAATCTTGTAAACCAATACTAGTTTAATAAGTATCAATGAGCTATGTGATGAAAATGTCATCATATATGAAAAATAATTTCAATATTTTATTTAACCCCAAACATTTCAAAATGTATTCATTTCAGCACAAAACGTATTTTAAAAAAACAAGTAGGCAATTGGAAGAGACAGAGATTTTAATCCTGGCAACCATCACTAATTCTTCTGAAGCTGGGCTCAATACTCAGCCCATGGCATGGAGATGCCCCTGTCGAATGCCATCTCCTAGCTCATTTCAGAGATTTCTATGAAATTATTAAAGAATGCTAATTCTGGAATTTATATGAAATTCTAAAATACTAACGCAAATTGAAAGCAGGCAAAAGTGACATGTCACAGAAGCTCCCACCTAACGGATGATACAGGTTATCTTGAGTATCCTGATGGGGACCAGGCCCTTGTGCTGTCACAGGCAGATTTGGGAATGGCTCCAGCTGAGTCCTGGCTGGGTGGACAAAGGATGTGGCCTCTGAAATGACATCGGGCTGAGCCGGGTCCAACCAACACAGCCCAACACAAGCTGGGACTCTCATCGGCAGGAGGAGGCTGCCAATCTCGGGGGCCATCATTAGAACCTCTCCCCTGCTCTTTGATTCTACTGGTTACTGGGAAGACGTGGGTCTTTCACATGTGCCTCTGCCTGATGGCAAGCTCATGTCCTGCTCCCCATCCTGTGGAATTTCCCATAACCCCACAGCCTTCCCCACTCCCTTTCCCCTGACACACAGTCCTTGGAGACAGGATCTCATGTTTGACTTTATTTTTATTTTATAAGAATATTACATGCTGAAACAGGAAGACAGGGGTTGAATACATTATGCTTATCTCGGAAACCAGCTCCAGTTGTCAACAATAAATAAATATTTTAACAGTAGTTCCCAACAGGTGCTAAGAAGTTCCCAGCACCTGCAGAGGTAGAGTCTGGCCAAGAGAGGGAGACAGTCAGGCTGCCGGCTCCAGTTGTGAGTGGCTAGGAGAGGCAAACTGAGCTCACAATAATAAATAACAACAGCAACGACACAGCTACAGAAACCAAGATACTATGCTACAATTGTCACCAAACTAACAATATGTTATACTTAAATAACTTTCTCCTGGAGAAGCTCACAGTGCAGACAACAGTGCTCACTTCCTGGGGTGTCAGAGGCATCCTGGTTCATCGCCCTCCCAGCCTACACTCCTGCAGAAATCCCATTATCGGAATGTTTGTTCAGTGGTAATTCTGAGGTGACAAGCAGGTTCTGCTCCCCGGGTCTGCTCTTCCAAGCAGCCTCCCTCCCAGCTTCTGCGTTCGGTCCAAGGGAACTCTTGGCTCCTGTACCAGTTGCCCTCACACTAGAGAAAGTGCATCTCACATTCACAGGAAAGAAACATGAGACTCCCCTTCCATCCTGGGGTGTCTTTCCCCCCTGTTCTCATACCCACAAAAAAAATTGGCTTGATTTGAGCAGAACTTTTGGGAACTGCCAAGTGGAAATGTGTTAGTTATGGTCCTTTTGCCCCTGGTTCCACATGCTGGTTCATTGCCCAGCATGAGAACTGGACACCCGCTCACCAACCTTTCTCCTCGTAGACCCACGTTCAAGGGCAGCACAGAGCTAAAGCCCTGCTCACAGGTGGACCCTGCTGCAAACCCAGGATTAGGGACCACCTGCAAGAGGTCACCAAGAATGCCGAGACTAATGTCACACAAGCAAGATGTCCTCTTTTGGGGACTCTCTACTGACTTAGAAAGGGACTCAAAGGTCAGTGCTTGAGGTATAAAAATCTCACAGGGAAAACATCCCACTGGTTCCCTGTCCTTGACAGGACTGCGAGGCTGGACAAAGGAATGTTGGCAGTGCAGAGGCAGGTGATAGGGACAGAGTGGGAAGGTTCTACAACCAGGGCTCCTTTCTGTGCAAGGACAGCCTGGGACATAGGAAAACGGGGTGCCATCGAAGTCAACAGTTCACTAGGCACACAGCTGAGCTGGCTGCCTTCCCTCTTCTTGTTCAAGCTTCCTTTTATGTACATTTTCCAAACCCCTGGAAGAGTCCCCTTCAAAATGACAAGAGCTAATAAGAACTCTCACACCACCGTGGCTTTCCCCACTGAGACCCGACAGCCTTCATCTTCAGCCCTCACCCCAAGGTCCTGAGTTCCTGCATGGAATTCAGCCCACAGTATCTGGAGGAGAGGCTGTGGCTCCCAAGACAGGCTGCCCAGTGACTTTCCCCACCAGTCCTCTCCCGCTTGCTTGGAAGACCCTGCCTCCTGCACAGAGGCGGCAGCTTAGGGGTAGGCGACTCAACCTCTCTTGCAGGCTGGCTTCCTCACTGCCAGGAGGCTCAGGTGTGCGAGGGCTCAGCTGGGCTGCAGCTGGACGGACAGGCAGGGGCAGCCAAGGCTTGGGCAGCCAGGTCCCGGTAAGCAGGTGACTTCAGAAAGCGTGGATAGGAGTCCTTCTCCATCAGGGTGCGCGTCTTCCCCTGAGCAACTTCGAAGCACGTGGCCATGGCGGTCTGCAGGTTTATCCTGGTCAGCTCCCTGGTCTCATGGTCTATGTTCACCTGTGGTGGGGAAGGCAAGCGCACTGGTGAGGGGAGTGGGTTAAGAAGGGAGTAAGACATGGGGTTCACAGGCTTAGAGACGACTGACTGGTGTGGGAGCACAGGATCTGAGTCAGGAACCTGGTGTCCCCTGATGTGATCACTAGCCAGTGCCATACAAACCCGCTTCCTGCTCTGTGACCACGACAGATGTTCTCTGGCCTCTGTACTTGCTGCTTCCTGTGTTTGAATGTTCATTCCTCTCTTAATTCTTTCACGTCTTTGTTCATCTGTCACCTTACCAGACAGCCCACCCCTGACTTCCTTTATGAAATGGAAATGCCTCCTCCCACCTTGTACCACTGCCTGCCTGGCTCTCCTCTCTCTTGTGGCCTGCCTGGTTTTTATCAGAGCACACAGCAGCAGCTGGCACATATTTGTTTGTTGAATTGGTTATTGTCATCCCCTCCCATTAGGGTAGACACTTCTTGTTCACTGTCGTATCCCCGATGACAACAATAATGCCTTACAAGTAAACGGTGTTCAATACATTTTTATAGAATAAGTAAATGTGCTCAGAAAATAAAATGCCAAAGGACGATATTACTATCATCTCTCCACAAGGTGGCCCCATGGTCCTTATGCAATCCAGATGCCACAATGGCGGCCAGGAGCAGGTTGGAAAGTTCACTGACCACAGACCTGCTGGCAGAGGCAGGTCAGCCAGGAGACAGATCCAGGTCTCAGGAGGGCCTAGGATGACCTGTCTTTCCACTTGTGTAAAGAGTTTGCACCTCTAAAATGGGCTTAGCTTACACATGTGGGTATAAACAAAAGACAAAATAAACAGAAGCCGTGGGCCCTTGGTTGGGTCTGAGGAAATAGCAGCCAGGGGCAGTGAGAGTCCTGACTGTCCTAGTCTCTGGCCACAGATATTCACTCACTCCTGGGCCAAATAAAGTTACTTATACTTCTAAACCCAATCCTCCACCTGCTGCCCCTGCCACCCTCCCCAATTCTCAGCCAGGAAGGAACTGGTTGGGTCCGGAGTATCCATGGAACATGCTGGAGCTCTGACCTCTTTAGGGGCTTCACTGCGGACAAATTCCTCAAAGATTCTGTGAGCCCGGGACGCTAGCTTGGTGGCCGATCGAATCTTCTTGAACTCTTCACAGGCTAGCCAGAACTCCAGGTTCTCCTCGCTGAACTCTGTCTTCAGGAAAGCATGGAAAGCAGCCACTCCAGCTGGGGGTAGGGGAGAGAGAAAGAGACAGGTCAGATTGTGGGACACCGAGAATAAAGGAAGTGAAGACAGCAATTGTAGTTAATGGCTCTATTTTTGGGATGTAATTTTCTTGAACAAGGACCTGCCTTTGTGCTTTGAATAGAGGCTGGCACACTAGAGGATGGTGATTATTATTATTATTACTACTATTATTTTGCCCACGCTTTCAGCATCCCTCAGGCTGGATCCAAAGCACATGGGGACACGTGTGCCATCCACACCACAGGCAGACACAACAGGGTCCTACTCACTTTTACTGCTCAGCAGCAAGTCAAACGACTCTTTCCATCCCAGCACATCTTCTGAGATGTTTCTGTTAAAAACAAAAGAGCCACAATTTTAATGAAAACAAACAAAAAATCAGCAAACAAATACACAGCATAAACTCTAGCCAGAACTCTGATGGGAGGTGCGGATTTTCATAAACACTTGCTTGGTGATTATGAAAGCTGACTCGTCAAACTCATGGCGGGTGAGGGTGAAACAGTGGTGTTTTCTAGAGGACAATTCAGTTACCAGAAACCAAAGCCAGGAAGGGATCATTTGGCCCTGAGGAAATATCTCTAGGGCTGCCTCTTTGCTGTTCAAACTTTTTTCTATCCCAACCTCTCTGGGCTCTGTCTTGTACACTTACCCAAGGAAATACAGGTCTGATGAACTGAAGTTATATCTACTTATCACTGAAGCTATTCTATGTCTACTAGCACTGTACCTGCACCACTGATGTTCAATATAAAAGTGACTTGAAACATAGTGCATGCTAATGCAAGGAGAGTCACTGATTTAAAACTTTTAAGTGGTCCTGGCCCCTGGCCTACCCCTGCTCACATGTGCAGCAACATCTGAAGAGGGGAGAGTGTGGTGACTAGACATTCAGGCCCTGGGTGTTCTCTTCTGTCACTGCACTTAGAAATGTTAGGTCCAGCGGGACCACCACACTCCTTGCTCCCACTCACTCATGAGCCAAGCAGTTATAGCAAACCAGCAAAATGCCCTATTAAAATCTCCAGGGAGGGGGGTTGACAGGTCCACCCCAGCATGTCCTAATTGCTCCTCCTGCTTTCCTTTGTATGATCCTTTCCTAAATCTGGCTCCCCCCTTCAGGGGTCTGTGGCCCATCATCAGGACTCACCCCTCTTTGCTGTGTTTACTGGTCCGCTCGAACTTGCCAGCACTCCCGGAATCACAGCCCTGGTCTGATTTGTGAAGAAAGATTCCCAGGCGAGTCTTGAACTCTTTGGCTCTGGAAAACAAAGCATGAACATGTGAGTATTCTCCATTTGCTCAGTCAGGGCAGAGAGTTTATGGGGTGCTAGAAGAGCTCAGGGAGGGGTACCATCCAAATTCCAGCCTTAACAGTTCCTCGGAAGCCAGGGCTGCTCCTGGGGCCTAACATTTGCTTCTCTCATTTGTGAAATGAACCCAGAAACAATAGAAGCAATGTTTGAGCTTTTAAACTTTTTAAGTCTTACACTTTCTGGGTTTACAGCAGTGCACATGTGGACGTTTTTCTTTCTTAAGTCTCTCCACTCTATTATTTGCTTGTTGATGAGAACCAGCACCCTCTAGGCTCGTCAGGAATATTTCTGGAAATGGATTCCTGCCTTTATCTTTGCCTTCTCCTTCCCAGCCACCAACTCCAGCAGGGATTATAGGCTGCCGAGCAATGCCCTGGGAAATGAGCACATGCCTTACCACTGGACCCCCAGAAAAACACCTTCCTGCCTTCCCCTTCCCAGGGCAGGAGGGGTTCGTGCCCCTGGATCTGGGCAGCAGAATGAAAACCAAGTACTTAAGAAATCGGGGAACACTCAGTACTGCCAGGTGATGCCAATGTGGTCTACCTGCAGCTGAATCTTCAGCAAGTCACCTGAGAAGGACTGCCATGTGTCAGAGGATGGGGAATGGCAATAAGCAGTGGTCGCACTGCCCCCCTTTGCTTTGCCTTCTCCCTTCTCTTGGCCCAGAAATTCTCGAAGACTCCAAGGGAAGCATCTGAGAAGGTGGAACCAGGCTGACCTATGCCTCTCCACTCAAGTCAGTAGCGCCCCGTTCTCTGGTCCACCCAGGTGCTGCCCCTCCACTCCCTAAGGGTTAGTGGGACTTGACTTCTTACTCCAGGCAGCTGAACAAGCTCCAGGGCACACGCTCCTCTTACCTCTCCAGGCAGGTGGTGGGGAAGCCGGTCAAGGTCCGGCACATGGCTGCGGGTGCAGGGCAGCACGTCGTGTGTAGGACAGTGGTGGGCTCCAGGGGGAGGCACGGAAGCTCCAAGCTCGGAGGAACGGCAGTTACTGGCACCGGTCTAAGGGGGACAGGCTTACCAGAGATTTGTAAAATGCACACGCCGACGCGGGGAGACCGCGGCTTTTATTCCCTCGGAGAGGGGCGGGGCGGGCCGCGGGCCGCCGACCAATGGGGGAGCTGGGTCGCGCTCCGAAAACCGAGTGTAGACGGAGGCGGGGCGGGGAACCGCACCCGGCGGGGCGCCACACGCCGCGCGCCGCCGACTTCGCCCCTGCAGTCCTGGCCGGAGCCCGCGGGGGCTGCCCCTTCCTCCAGGCGGCCAGAAGTCACTGTGGGGTGAAGAGCGCACACCCACTTTAGCAGGAAAACCCCATCAACCTTTAGTAAAAGCAGGAAACCAACTTAGCGGTGGCGAGTTTTCAGGAGGGTTTACGCAGGGGGGCGGAGGGGGGGCACACAGCTGGATCACAGCCTGAGCGTGAGCCTGCTGGGTCCTGAGGGAAAGACAGGAGCACAGAGCGCAGCCCAGGCAGCAGCCGTGGTGATTATTCTGACGACTACCATTTATCATCATCTCGCCATCACCTCCATATTACAGAGGGAGAAACGAGTCAGAAGGTTAGAGACTTTGCCCAAGATCACAGAGTTGGAAAGAGCAGGCCTTATGGGGAGACACCTAGACTTTACAGAGCACCGGTGTGCTGGGCCAGGTAATACATGTGGTGCCCCTCCCCTCGCCTTCCCCTGAAGGCATCACGGCCTCAGTTCTCTTTGGGGCTGCTATTAAGAAGCCACCTGTGAGGTTATGATTATGGGTTCTATGGTGAGATTTTCAGGTTTCAAATCATGTTTTCTTTACTAATGGGAGACCTTCACCTGTCCATGCCTCAAGTTCCTTCTCTCGATGATGAGAACCTTGACACGCTTATTGCATAAGGGTGTCCTGAGCACTAAATAAGCAAATTCTTCATTTGAGGTCCCCAGGAACAGGAACTCAGCAGAGACTTGCTGGAAGAGTTCTCAGGGAAGCAGAGCAGGGCAGAGAGGGAATTGAATGCCCTGCTCTTACCACACAGAGGGACGCTGGTGCAGGGGATGCTCTGGAGGGGGGCAGTTCCCCCACTGAAGCAAGGGGGTGGGCCACTGTACCCCACTGTGACTCTGTCCAATGAAGTTGCCCCAGAAGATGGCCTAATTTTGAGCAGGGCAACTCTGTCAAGGGCAACTCCGGGAGAGACTGCTAGAAGCCTCCAGCAGTCAGCAGGCTAGGGGATGAGGTCCTCAGTCCCAAAGAGGGGGTGTGGGTTGTATGCCACATCTCCTGCAACAACCCGTAAGGGACTTCAGTGTCAACACACGGACAGCTCTCAGTAAGTGTGAACTTTCCGTTTCACTCAACAGGGACACAGGGAGGGCTCGACCACCAGGAAATGTTGTGGTTTAGTGCCTCGTGTACTGAGGTTTTTATTTCATGAGGGGCTATCTAAAAGTTGTTCCTCCTCAGCATGGCCTTGAAGGAAAGGGTCAGAAAAGAAAAACAAGAGAAGGAGGCTGTAGTGCCAGCAAGGCAAGGGGCAGGTTCTCTATGATCCAGGCAGATGGGTAAGAGACATCCTGGAGCCCTCAGTGGCTTTTTCAGGCTTTTAATGATATTTCTACACCATTTGTAGTGAGGCAACCAGGGGCAGGGCAGGCAGAAGGCCTGGGGGCCGGGAGGCTGCCAGGACTCCCAGCCCCTGACCAATCTTCACTCTTTCTGGGTTCTCTGGTGTTCACTCCTGGTCTCTCTGCTGGTCTCTATTGCACTTGGCTGTGTGGTTCTCTGCCTCCCCCCATCCTCTGCGGACACCACCCTTATAGGCTCAGTCTCTGGCTCAGGTGTGTCCATTACACATGCCCACACCATGCTCCTCCTGCTCCTCCAGCCGCCGCCACCAGGCACCCATGTAAGATCACAGGTGCCGATCATTGATGCTAATAGCGGGAGGGCAGAAAAAACCTGATCACTTCCATGTACCCTACAGAGTTTCCCCCCTCTGAATAAGCTCAGTGAGAAGGCCCAGAAGAGCCAGTTGGAGAAGGAAAAGGAGAAACCACAGCGGAGAACGAGAAGAGGCAGGCCTGCGAGGTACAAGTGGAGGCACTGCCTGTGCAGGGAGTCCAAATCAGAACAATGTGTGGTCATTTGACCAGGCGGCCCCCTTGTTAAGCAGGGCCTGCCGAAGATGATCCAGTTAAGTGGAGACAGAATGCACTCTGGGAGCCAGAGTGGAGTTCTCCCCAAACCTCTGGCCCATTAGTGGGTAGTTAGTGGGGCACAGTGACAGGCATAGCAGCAGCTCAGATGCCAGCACCTCCTACCTTGCCAGCCTAGGCTCTTGTCCTCCCTTTCTCACAAGCCCTTTCTCAAAAGTTGATGTGGGGCAGGGAGGTAGGCAGGGTTTGGAGGGGGTAGTGGCATGCAACCGGGCTCTGGAAGGATGCCTTCTGAACGCTTGTGTTTCTCGGCATGGTCCTCCACCCATAGGGGGTGCAGTCTACCAGCCCCCCAGGCCCGTGGTCAGCACATTCTGCTGGAGGATTTTGTCAGCCAATGTGAGATTGCATTTACCTGGTGTTGCTCGTGCCTCAAAGCATGCTTTTATTATACAGCTGCCAGGTGGGTGGTGTCTGGGACAGCTTTTCTTCATATTACAAAAATGACTTTCGCTTCGCCCTCAGCAGCACAGCACTGCAATCAGCCCAACAGTCTAACAATAGCAAGGATTATGCAGAGAACCTCCTCAAATCACCCTGTCCTTTCTACATCCCTGTGAATGGGTCAGAGATGGTTTTTAATTTCCATTTTGCAAAGAACCTCCTCAAATCACCCTGTCCTTTCTACATCCCTGTGAATGGGTCAGAGATGGTTTTTATTTCCATTTTGCAGACAACAAAATAACAGTGCTTACGGTACCCTCGGTTTAAGTCCACTGGAACTGAAAACAGCTGAAACCTGGGTCTAATCTCCAGGTTCCTGAGCCAGCACTCTCTCCCACTCAACAAAGACAGCAGAAGAGACAAAGGGATTGATGTGCACAGTGGCAGACAGGCAAATCCCACAGCACAAAGCTCCCTGCTCAAGATGAAGAGCCCTCTCTGAGCACAGCCTGCCTCCCAGTTGCCATGGTTACCTCTTCAGTTTCCAGGCAGAAACTTTTTGAAGTTCACAATTTATCCCAAATTCTCTTCCCAGCAGGTAAGTCAGTTCAATTTCAGTAATGACTCCACAGTGGCAGTAAACCCCGCAAGTTGAGCTCACCTGTGACCCACACTGGCTTTGACAACACACACAGCTTAGCTATGACGTGTGCAGGGTGTGGGGATGCAGATCCCTGCCTAGGTCATCTGGGGTTAGCAATCCTGGCAAAGTCTGGGTAGAATTAAACATCCCGGGACGTCTGTAGGGTAAAGAAAATGTCAGGCTTTTCTGCCCTCCCGCCATCAGTATAGATGATGGATCCTTGAGGTCCTGAATGCATGCCTGATGGCGGGCACCTGGAGTAGGGTGTGGGCATAGGTAGATGGGATTCACCTGGGCTGAGACTGGGCTTTTAAGGGTGGCATCACGGGGACGCCAGCAGCAGCAGCGGAAGCCAAAAGAGAAGCCTAGAGAGAAGCAAGAGAAGCAGAAGCTGGGAGATGGCCGGAGAGCCCAGAGTGAAGACCTGCTCCCAGCCCCCCAGCACCCCTGCCTGCCATGTACCTGGTAATCCCAATAAAAACCTGCAAAAAACCACTAAGGACTCTGATTCCTCCTTTACCCGGTCTGCATGGGATCCTAGAAAACCTGCTCAGTGTCCAGTCCTGCCTTTACAACCTCTCAGCCCTTGTGCCTTCCTTCCCCCTCAGCCCCCTGCCTCCCAGCACACCTTCCACTCCCAAGGAGGGTACCTCTGCTGAAAACTGTTAGGGGAAATGAAAACACTTCTTCCACCTCTGATTTGGACACAGACAAGGTCCATGGTGGTCTGGATCTTCCAAATTCAATCGTCCATCTGCTAATAAATCCTTTTTGAGAATTGACTATTTCCCCCGTCCATGCAGAAAGGACAGCTTTGAAGCCTCTTCTCTGACTTCAATGATATTAGAATCTAGCTGGGGAGTCAGAACTCACGTGGGGGTGGGGGGAATGGTGAAAATAAATTATTTGTCGGACTTTACAACAGATGTCCAGGCAAGGGAGGGAGGCCAGAGGCAGAGGGTGGGCCATGCTAAAAAAAAGAGAGGGGTCTGAGCTGTCACAGAAGTTGGCCAGAACATGACGGTATATGCAGGGGAGCATGCTTTAAGTTGGAGACAGCTAGGAAACGCCTGTTGTGGTTCAGAGTACAACGAAGGTGCAATGCTTTAGGAATTCCTTACATGTGGGCAGAGGCACTTGGGTTGTAGATGCACAGTTTAGGGTTAGCAGCATAAAACAGCAGGGCAGTGTGTGTCCCAAAGCAGCCGGATAAAGAGGCAGAGGTCGCTTCTAGAAGACATAGAATAGGCAGTCTCTGGAGACCATGTCCCTCCTGGGCTACAGGCGTTGACCCAGCTCAGCCTAAGCACAAGAAGTGATTGTCTCCCCAGTTGCTCCCAGGGAACTGGGCACAAGCTGGCTTTAATCACTGGAAATGCAGTACTCTGCTTACTTGTCTCCCTCCCCTCCTCTCTGGGCAGAATTTGGAGGGGTTGGGAATCTGGGAGGCCTGTTTCACTCTGCCCTACAGGGGGCCAAAGGACCCCTAGCCTCCAAGGCAGGGTGATTGTACTCACTTTAGCCACTTGGGGAAGTTAAAATTCTTCAGTGAAACCCATAGCCAATATGTTCATATCTAGACTTCTCCATATGGCACAGAAGACCTCTGATGCCACGCCCTTCACCTTTGTAGGGTAAAATCAGGCTTTTTCCGCCCTTCCGCCATTAGCATCTATGACCTTGCATAGATGTGGTCTTGCACACACACCTGTAATTATGGACACCTAGGCCCAGAGAGCATGGGCATGCGCATAAATAAATGGGGATACCTATGCCGAGGGGCGAGGGGATATAGGGGCAGC